ATGTGGATGTGGATGTGGATGTGGATGTGGATGTGGATGTGGATGTGGATGTGGATGTGGATGTGGATGTGGATGTGGATGTGGATGTGGATGTGGATGTGGATGTGGATGTGGATGTGGATGTGGATGTGGATGTGGATGTGGATGTGGATGTGGATGTGGATGTGGATGTGGATGTGGATGTGGATGTGGATGTGGATGTGGATGTGGATGTGGATGTGGATGTGGATGTGGATGTGGATGTGGATGTGGATGTGGATGTGGATGTGGATGTGGATGTGGATGTGGATGTGGATGTGGATGTGGATGTGGATGTGGATGTGGATGTGGATGTGGATGTGGATGTGGATGTGGATGTGGATGTGGATGTGGATGTGGATGTGGATGTGGATGTGGATGTGGATGTGGATGTGGATGTGGATGTGGATGTGGATGTGGATGTGGATGTGGATGTGGATGTGGATTGGATGTGGATGTGGATGTGGATGTGGATGTGGATGTGGATGTGGATGTGGATGTGGATGTGGATGTGGATGTGGATGTGGATGTGGATGTGGATGTGGATGTGGATGTGGATGTGGATGTGGATGTGGATGTGGATGTGGATGTGGATGTGGATGTGGATGTGGATGTGGATGTGGATGTGGATGTGGATGTGGATGTGGATGTGGATGTGGATGTGGATGTGGATGTGGATGTGGATGTGGATGTGGATGTGGATGTGGATGTGGATGTGGATGTGGATGTGGATGTGGATGTGGATGTGGATGTGGATGTGGATGTGGATGTGGATGTGGATGTGGATGTGGATGTGGATGTGGATGTGGATGTGGATGTGGATGTGGATGTGGATGTGGATGTGGATGTGGATGTGGATGTGGATGTGGATGTGGATGTGGATGTGGATGTGGATGTGGATGTGGATGTGGATGTGGATGTGGATGTGGATGTGGATGTGGATGTGGATGTGGATGTGGATGTGGATGTGGATGTGGATGTGGATGTGGATGTGGATGTGGATGTGGATGTGGATGTGGATGTGGATGTGGATGTGGATGTGGATGTGGATGTGGATGTGGATGTGGATGTGGATGTGGATGTGGATGTGGATGTGGATGTGGATGTGGATGTGGATGTGGATGTGGATGTGGATGTGGATGTGGATGTGGATGTGGATGTGGATGTGGATGTGGATGTGGATGTGGATGTGGATGTGGATGTGGATGTGGATGTGGATGTGGATGTGGATGTGGATGTGGATGTGGATGTGGATGTGGATGTGGATGTGGATGTGGATGTGGATGTGGATGTGGATGTGGATGTGGATGTGGATGTGGATGTGGATGTGGATGTGATGTGGATGTGGATGTGGATGTGGATGTGGATGTGGATGTGGATGTGGATGTGGATGTGGATGTGGATGTGGATGTGGATGTGGATGTGGGATGTGGATGTGGATGTGGATGTGGATGTGGATGTGGATGTGGATGTGATGTGGATGTGGATGTGGATGTGGATGTGGATGTGGATGTGGATGTGGATGTGGATGTGGATGTGGATGTGGATGTGGATGTGGATGTGGATGTGGATGTGGATGTGGATGTGGATGTGGATGTGGATGTGGATGTGGATGTGGATGTGGATGTGGATGTGGATGTGGATGTGGATGTGGATGTGGATGTGGATGTGGATGTGGATGTGGATGTGGATGTGGATGTGGATGTGGATGTGGATGTGGATGTGATGTGGATGTGGATGTGGATGTGGATGTGGATGTGGATGTGGATGTGGATGTGGATGTGGATGTGGATGTGGATGTGGATGTGGATGTGGATGTGGATGTGGATGTGGATGTGGATGTGGATGTGGATGTGGATGTGGATGTGGATGTGGATGTGGATGTGGATGTGGATGTGGATGTGGATGTGGATGTGGGATGTGGATGTGGATGTGGATGTGGATGTGGATGTGGATGTGGATGTGGATGTGGATGTGGATGTGGATGTGGATGTGGATGTGGATGTGGATGTGGATGTGGATGTGGATGTGGATGTGGATGTGGATGTGGATGTGGATGTGGATGTGGATGTGGATGTGGATGTGGATGTGGATGTGGATGTGGATGTGGATGTGGATGTGGATGTGGATGTGGATGTGGATGTGGATGTGGATGTGGATGTGGATGTGGATGTGGATGTGGATGTGGATGTGGATGTGGATGTGGATGTGGATGTGGATGTGGATGTGGATGTGGATGTGGATGTGGATGTGGATGTGGATGTGGATGTGGATGTGATGTGGATGTGGATGTGGATGTGGATGTGGATGTGGATGTGGATGTGGATGTGGATGTGGATGTGGATGTGGATGTGGATGTGGGATGTGGATGTGGATGTGGATGTGGATGTGGATGTGGATGTGGATGTGGATGTGGATGTGGATGTGGATGTGGATGTGGATGTGGATGTGGATGTGGATGTGGATGTGGATGTGGATGTGGATGTGGATGTGGATGTGGATGTGGATGTGGATGTGGATGTGGATGTGGATGTGGATGTGGATGTGGATGTGGATGTGGATGTGGATGTGGATGTGGATGTGGATGTGGATGTGGATGTGGATGTGGATGTGGATGTGGATGTGATGTGGATGTGGATGTGGATGTGGATGTGGATGTGGATGTGGATGTGGATGTGGATGTGGATGTGGATGTGGATGTGGATGTGGATGTGGATGTGGATGTGGATGTGGATGTGGATGTGGATGTGGATGTGGATGTGGATGTGGATGTGGATGTGGATGTGGATGTGGATGTGGATGTGGATGTGGATGTGGATGTGGATGTGGATGTGGATGTGGATGTGGATGTGGATGTGGATGTGGATGTGGATGTGGATGTGGATGTGGATGTGGATGTGGATGTGGATGTGGATGTGGATGTGGATGTGGATGTGGATGTGGATGTGGATGTGGATGTGGATGTGGATGTGGATGTGGATGTGGATGTGGGATGTGGATGTGGATGTGGATGTGGATGTGGATGTGGATGTGGATGTGGATGTGGATGTGGATGTGGATGTGGATGTGGATGTGGATGTGGATGTGGATGTGGATGTGATGTGGATGTGGATGTGGATGTGGATGTGGATGTGGATGTGGATGTGGATGTGGATGTGGATGTGATGTGGATGTGGATGTGGATGTGGATGTGGATGTGGATGTGGATGTGGATGTGGATGTGGATGTGGATGTGGATGTGGATGTGGATGTGGATGTGGATGTGGATGTGGATGTGGATGTGGATGTGGATGTGGATGTGGATGTGGATGTGGATGTGGATGTGGATGTGGATGTGGATGTGGATGTGGATGTGGATGTGGATGTGGATGTGGATGTGGATGTGGATGTGGATGTGGATGTGGATGTGGATGTGGATGTGGATGTGGATGTGGATGTGGATGTGGATGTGGATGTGGATGTGGATTGGATGTGGATGTGGATGTGGATGTGGATGTGGATGTGGATGTGGATGTGGATGTGGATGTGGATGTGGATGTGGATGTGGATGTGGATGTGGATGTGGATGTGGATGTGGATGTGGATGTGGATGTGGATGTGGATGTGGATGTGGATGTGGATGTGGATGTGGATGTGGATGTGGATGTGGATGTGGATGTGGATGTGGATGTGGATGTGGATGTGGATGTGGATGTGGATGTGGATGTGGATGTGGATGTGGATGTGGATGTGGATGTGGATGTGGATGTGGATGTGGATGTGGATGTGGATGTGGATGTGGATGTGGATGTGGATGTGGATGTGGATGTGGATGTGGATGTGGATGTGGATGTGGATGTGGATGTGGATGTGGATGTGGATGTGGATGTGGATGTGGATGTGGATGTGGATGTGGATGTGGATGTGGATGTGGATGTGGATGTGGATGTGGATGTGGATGTGGATGTGGATGTGGATGTGGATGTGGATGTGGATGTGGATGTGGATGTGGATGTGGATGTGGATGTGGATGTGGATGTGGATGTGGATGTGGATGTGGATGTGGATGTGGATGTGGATGTGGATGTGGATGTGGATGTGGATGTGGATGTGGATGTGGATGTGGATGTGGATGTGGATGTGGATGTGGATGTGGATGTGGATGTGGATGTGGATGTGGATGTGGATGTGGATGTGGATGTGGATGTGGATGTGGATGTGGATGTGGATGTGGATGTGGATGTGGATGTGGATGTGGATGTGGATGTGGATGTGGATGTGGATGTGGATGTGGATGTGGATGTGGATGTGGATGTGGATGTGGATGTGGATGTGGATGTGGATGTGGATGTGGATGTGGATGTGGATGTGGATGTGGATGTGGATGTGGATGTGGATGTGGATGTGGATGTGGATGTGGATGTGGATGTGGATGTGTTAGAAACAGTAGCTGAGCCCGGGCGGTGGGGGCGCACTCTTAGTCGCAGCACGGGAGATCGAGGCAGGCAGATCAAATTCCAGAACAATCAGAGCTACACAGGGAAACTCTTCTCTTAAAACAAAACAAAAAAAAATCAAAACAACAACAAAAAGCAGTAGCTGGCCATGATGGTGCACACCTTTAATCCCAGCACTGGGGAGGCAGAGGCAGGTGGATCTCTAAGTTCAGTACCAGCCTGGTCTACATAGCAAGTGCCAGGCCAGTCATGGCTACACAGTGAGGCTCACATTCTCTCTCTCTTTCTCTTTTTTTCCCTCCCTCCCTCTCTCCACAGTAGCTAATTTTCAGGTACAGAAAACTGATTAACTGAACTCATTAACTGATTTGTTTAAATCCTAGGCTTAAAGAATTTATAAACTATGGAAAGTGAGTCATAGTTCATTTACCTTATTTAAAGTACCAGACCTTAATTTCACTTTTTATCCTGTTAAACTTGGCTTTAAAAGGGCTTGAATCATGATAATGCAGTGAGTCTCTTAGAAGTAACTGTTCTGTTCTTAAGATGGAGCTGAAGGATGTTGAAAGGAAAATTGCACAGCAGGCAGCTAAGCTGCAAGGGGTAGACTTGGATCGAACTGTCCAGCAGGTTAACCAGGAAAAACAGGAAAAACAACATAAAGTGGATACAGGTAATGAGTGCTCGCACCCCACACAGACGTCGGTGCTGCCTCCCACGCGTTCACTCTCCCGCTCCTTTCCAAGTGTCCTGCCTGTTTCCGTGCCTTGTGCAACACACCTGGAATTGTAGAGTCTGATGAGCTGAGCTCTTTCCCAGTTGTGCCTGCCCTGTGACTGGGTGGGGATAGCGAGCGGGGCACCCTTGTTGCGTGCTGGAGCCCACTGCATTTCAGCCTCTGAATTCTTTACACTGTAAGAACTCAGAGGGTGATAACAGTGCTTTCTGTACCCATCCATATGTTTCTGTTCAGTTTCCAGTAAGATTGAATTGAACCGTAAGCTTATACAGGACCAGCAGGAGCAAATTCAGTGCCTGAAAAGTAAAACAAATGAGCTGAAATCAGAGAAACTGCAGATATCCACGAATTTGCAACGTCGTCAGCAAATGGAGGAGCAGACTGTGGAATTGTCCACAGAAGTTCAGTCTTTATACAGAGAGATAAAGGTAGGAATGCACATACATGTTGTTTTGTAACTTAGTCCAGACACAAAATTCCAATATTGATGTGAAGAGACATAACTACGGTTATTGTGAGACTCAAATGAAAGTGTTATGATGATTCTTCATGTGTGGTGTTTTTTGGGGGGGTGGGGGGGGGGGTTTCAAGGTAGGGTTCCTCTAACTTTGAAGCCTGTCCTGGAACTAGCTCTTGTAGACCAGGCTGGCCTTAAACTCACAGAGATCCGCCTGCCTCTGCCTCCCAAGTGCTGGGATTAAAGGCGCGTGCCACCACTGCCCGACTTCATGTGATTTTTGAGTGGCAGAAAGATTTGGAAGAAAGAGTTGGGTCGTGTAAAGAAGAAGCAAGTATCTGGTTAGATAGCGAATTTTCATGTCATAGATACAACACTTGGGGACAAGAATTCATAGCCAGCCACCATCTGACACATGAAAATTCGCTATCTAACCAGATACTTGGTTCTTCTTTACACGACCCAGGACAGACACCCGTATGTTAGCACTGCTCCATTCAATCCCACATGTGATTTCAGCCTGCTTGCCAGTACAGTGAATGGGCATGGGGTGCTGTGGGCCCTGGAGTGCACCCGCTGGCTTTATCTCAGTGCATCAAAGCAAGGTCCTAATCCCGGTTTTCATGATTACAGCCACTCATTCAGTAGGCACTACACGTGTTACCCAGTCTATTTAGCAGTGATTGCTATAAATGCTCCTTTATTTCTTAAATAATTCTGGATTAAATAATTTGGATTTATACTACAAAGTAGTATTACCTTGCACTAGTCTTAACTGGTTATAAATGATTTTTACTTAAAACATTGAGTATCTCCCAGCCCTGTTGAGATAGATAACAAAGATTTCAGAATGCCCATGGCTGTCCAGAGGAAGCAAGGTTGATGGTCAGAAAGGTCTTCCGGTGGGAAGGTCCTTGGCTCTCCACCACACCACCACCTCCCTGCATGAGAAAACACACCAGTGTTGAAGTCACTAATGTCTGTGTCTTCCTTGTAACATGCTTTAAGAGTTCAAGGTTCATTTTTTTGAACTGTGGTGATCATGTGTGCATGTTCAACGCAATGTCACAAGAGACTTCTGATTTGTACAATAGTTTGTCATCTGAAAGTCCCCTTTCTTCCAGAAAAGGTGTGGGCACGCCACCGTCAATCGGTGTGCTGTTACAACCATGAAGATGAAGATAACTGCTTAGGTGACATGTAAAGAAGAATGCTGCTTTACACTGAACAAACCTTCCTTGTCTTTGATCACATAGAGCTGACATAGTTCCCTATTGGACTCTTGAAGATCCATGCATAAGCTATATGGGATAATTGGAATCATGGCTAGATGAAAATTGTAGTCATTTTGGTAGTCATTTCTGGAGTTGGGCTAGGTTAGACTCTTGGCTACTACATTTACTTTTGTGACCTTGAACAAGTTACTGTTTGTTTGCTTCTCTGAAGCACGTGGGTAAAAATATCAGTGCCATCTTCACAACCCTGTCAAGACATGCAAATAAGTTAAAGCCTGACACCTGGGATGTGTTTTACTGAGGCTGTGGAGCCTGGCATCTGAAATAAGGTAATGAAGTGTTGTATGACTGGTCTGGCTTTGTGTGTGCTCAGGATGCTAAAGAGCAAATAAACCCTTTGGAGACAGCACTGGAAAAGTTCCAGCAGGAAAAAGAAGAATTAATCCACAGAAAGCATACAAGTAACAAAATGGCTCAGGATAAAGTAAGTTCTTGTTTACATATTTTGCTTACCCAATGCCTGTGTTAACCAATTATAGCACTATTATTTTACATAAATAACTAGATAAGGTAAATAGTAGTTTCAGGTTTGTGATACTATTTCTATTTTTGGAATGCTGGACATTAAACTCAGGGCCTTGTGAATGCTAGAGTAGCACACTTATCACCAAGCTACATCCCTAACCCTCATGACGTACGTGTGTGTGTGTGTGTGTGTGTGTGTGTGTGTGTGTGTGTGTGTTTGCGCGCGCATAGTTGAGGGGGGCATCCACGTGAGTATTCTGGTGTGCATGCTCATGCATGTATACACAGAACAGAGCTGGAGGTCTTCTTCTGTCACTCTCCAGCTTGTCTCCTTGAGGCAGTCTCTTACTGAACCTAAGCCTCACTGGAGCTACCTGGTGAGCGTCCAGGATCTGCTGTCCCCCATCCCATCCCACTCCCCCAATGCTGAGGTTACAGGCACACACAGCCATGCCCAGTTGTTTTTGTTGGTTTTTTTTTTTTTTTTCTTCACATGGTTGCTGGGAATTTGAAGTTGGGTCCTCAGGCAAGTATAGCAAGTACTCTTACCTACTGAGCCATGTTATAATTTTGGATTTAGAAAATTCTTGAGAAAAGATTCAACTTACCAGCACTCAGGAGGCAGAGGCAGGCAGATCTTTGTGAGTTCGAGGCCAGTCCTCTAGGGTATAGTTCACCTACCAGGAGCTCCATCCTTAAAGAAAACTGACTGCCTCTGGCTTCTGATTTCCAAACCAGTGTTCCATTATGCTCTCTTACTGATCCCCTTTATCAGATCCTGGTGATTTTTTTAAATTATTTATTTACTTGCTTGTTTTCTTGAGGCAGAGTCTCCGTATGTGGCCTGGGCACTTGATATGTAGACCAAGCTGGCCTTGGAGTCATAGTGATTCTCCCTCCCAAGTACTAGGGTTTCGGACATGTGCTACTATTCCTAACTCATCTTGTGTATAATCTGTTTTGGTTTTGTGTGTACATGTATAAATTTAATAAATGTCTTTCCGCAGATCAATGATATCAGAGAGAAGGTTAAAAATATTAATGGTTACATGAAAGACATAGAGAATTATATTCAAGATGGAAAAGATGACTATAAAAAGGTAATTTAGAACAAAATTATTATTTGTTTGTTTTTATTTTCGTGCACTCAATGAATCTTTTTTTCTTTTTTAGCAAAAGGAAACCGAACTTAATGAAGTTGTAGCTCAACTAAATGACTGTGACAAACAAAAAGAAAAGATAAATAAAGAAATGGGAACCATGAGGCAAGATATTGACACACAGAAGGTAGGGCTTTCTGCTACTATAGCACAGCACTGTTTCTGCAGTAAGTTTTTTATAATAGAAAATAAATTAGATGGAAATGCAATGGGGAAAATACTTTTTTTCTTCTTCCTTTTTTTTTTTTTGTTGTTTGTTTCCTTTTTTTCTTTCTCTTTTGGTTTTTTTTTTTTTTTTTTGAGACAGGGTTTGTCTATGTAGCCCTGACTGTCATGGAACTCACTCTGTAGACCAGGCTGGCCTCGAACTCACAGAGATCCGCCTGCCTCTGCCTCCTAAGTGCTGGGATTAAAGGTGTGCACCACCACCACCTGGCTCATTTTTATTTTCAACAAAGGGCTCTCAGTAGTAAAAGTTTAAACATATAAAAGGCCAGGCATGGTGGAACAAGCCTTTAGTTCTAGCACTCAGAAGGGAGAGGCAGTTGGATCTGTGTGAGTTGCAGCTACATAGTGAGATCCTGTCTATTTAAAACAAAACAAAGATAAAACATTAAATACCCCCTCCTATGTCCAGTCTTCTTCCTAAATGTTGCTACTATTATATTCTTGTTTGATCTTAAATATGTGTTTTATTTCTGTATCAGTCTGTATATCAGATGGATAAGTGTAGGTTTATATGTGTATTTATACTTAAGTTTATATGTATATCTTACATTTGAATTGTTTTCTGTCTTTTCAGCTAATATATTTTGATCTTACATATTAACTCATAGGCTTTTTTTTTTAAGTTTTAGACAGGTCTCATTATGTAAGCTAGGCATAGGGCCTTAGTTCCTTATCTATAAGGAAAATATAATGTTCATTTTAGAGTTGATATATGTCATTTTCTCTATTAAAATTAATTTCTACAGTAAGATTAGATTGAGATGTTATCTTTGCCAGTAGCCCAAGCCTTTAATCCCAGTGGAGGCAGAGGCAGTTGGATTTCTAAGCCTGCCTGGTCTACAGAGCCAGAGCAAGGACAGGACAGCCAGGTTTCTTCTACACAGAGAAGAAACTCTGTCTCAAAAAACTTAAAAAACAAAAACAAAACCCTTACCTTTTAAGGATTAGCCTGTTTGTTTCTTTGAAACAAAGTCTTGCAGTCCAGGCTGACCTATAACCAGTTGTATTGCTGGGCACCTTGAACTCCTGACATCCCCCCATCTCCTCCCTCCTCCCCCACCCCCTATCTTCATATCCCAAGTCCTACGATTATAGGTACACACAATCACTCCCAGGCATTTCAAAAATGAAATATCAATACAAGGCTTATCTGCCTGACCTAATACATATATCTGGAATGTCTGCCTGCAGGGTGAGCCTTCCAGTTGACTAGGAGACTGGATAGGACAGAAAAGGATGTCATCTGTGTCTCTTGAGCTAAGATACATTATATTTGTATGTGCATGAGAATGTATATGCCTGCCAGGACCAGAAGAAGACTTTAGATTCATTGGATCTGGAGTTACAGATGGTTGTGAGCTAATCAGTATGGGTGCCAGGAACCAAACTCCATCCTCTCCAAGAGCAGCTAGTGTTCTTAACTGCTAGACCATCTTTCCAGCTTTTTAGGACACACTTCTTTTGCTCTTGGACATCAGAACTCCAGGCTCTTTGGCTAGAGATGTAGCACACAGGGGGCTTGGATCTGGTCTCTAGCACTGCATAAACTGCATGATGTCACTCACTGTAATTCCTGCAGTAGAGTGGTAGAAGCGGGAGAAAGAAAGAGTCCAGAACTTAGACTAGTGACCCTCAGGCTTGTCACTGAGCTGTGTTTCTGGCATCCTGGAATTGTTGAGTTTGCAGACCACTGGTAATGAGTTTCATTACCCTCTATAATGGGGTCAGTTGTCCTAACGAATCCCTCCATCTGTGTCCTATGGGCTCTGTCTCTCTGGAAGTCACCATGGCCAACTGTGTGCATTGCTGTATCAGCTGAACTCTGTGGCTGGGAACTCACCGATTTATGTGCTAGTTTAAGTCCAGTCAAGTTTTATCTTAAGTAATTTGAGGGGCTGGAGAGATGGCTTAGTGGTTAAGAGCACTGGCTGCTCTTCCAGAGATCCTGAGTACAATTCCTAGCAACCACATGGTGGCTCACAACCATCTGTCATAAGAGCCGATGCCCTCTTCAGGCAGAACACTGTATACATACTAAATAAATCTTGGGTGAGGGGAGTAATTTGAAATCTGCCTCCCTTTTTTCAGTGAAGGCATATATATGAAGGGGGGAAGTAGAGCCGGTATTACTGGTGAGCAGCAAGCATAGCGGCACACAGTTAGAAATCACAGTGCTGGGGAGGCAGTAAATGGCTGTGCCTAGTGCTCACTGGTGAGTTTCAGTGTCCCTGAGAGACCATGCCTCAAAAACAAGCAAACAAAAAATACTGAAGTAGTATAGTGAGGAGTGACACTCAAGGTTTTCTTGGCTGCCACACATACATAGAGATGTTTGTGACGCACACCCAAAAACCATCAAATAAACAACCATCAAATAGAGCCTAACAAAGATGAACTTTTAAGTGTTAACCTGTTTTTTTCCCTTTCTTTATCTTATTCTTTATATTTTGTGAGCTACAATTAGAATTCCAAAGGAAAATTGGACCCCACAGCTTTTTACAACCAGTTACTGAGCCAAATACTGTTCTGACTTCACCTTCAGAATAACACTTTACAGTAGGTGGCATTATCACCATAATTCACACAAACTAAAGTAAGACTGGAAGGTAACCTAAAAGAAATACTTGTCTGATGATTGTGTGCTGTCAAATTGGGAATGTTGCATAAGAATCAGTCTTAACTACAGTGTGTGATGGCCCTTTATAAAGCGCCCTTACATGCTATCATGAAAATCAGTTCAAATGTTAGATCACACCAGATGAAAGCAGCCTTTCCATGTTCCTAATCAGGATAAAAGCTCTGTTCTCCATGGCAAGGCTTCAGCGAGCACAGCTGTCTTCAGTGTGTCTTGCGTTGCCTCAGCCACTGAACCTTCACAGCCGTGTCACCTTGGCTACCTTTAGCTGTTTATAGTAATGCCTTTCATGAGTTTGCACAGTGGTAGCCTTCACTTTTCCCTTTCTTCTCTGGCTGACCTAGAACTCATGATGTAGACCAGACTGACCTTGAACTCACAGAAATGCTCTTGCCTCTGCCTCCCAAGTGCTGTGATTAAAGGTGTGCACTACCACACTCAGTTTTACCATTCTTCTTAATAATTTTTTTAAAAGCCGGGCGGTGGTGGCGCACGCCTTTAATCCCAGCACTCGTGGATCTCTGTGAGTTTGAGGCCAGCCTGGTCTACAAGAGCTAGTTCCAGGACAGGCTACAAAGCTACAGAGAAACCCTGTCTCGAAATAATAATAATAATAATTTTTTAAAAACTAAAAATAGTGTTTCTTGGGAGCACAGTTTGATTTGAACCTTTAGCACATGAGAGAAAGCCTTGTCTCCTACCACCCAGATACTTGACAGTTGGAAGCAAGGTAGTGTCAAAACTTTTCCCTCCTACTCCTACAGCACTGAGTTTCTGCAAGACTTTTTCCCCTAAATTCCAGTGTCGGCTTCTAAATTGTCTCCTAATGTGTGTCTCTTGTAATTCACTGTAATCACTAGGAAAACTATCAGGGTAGTTGTTTCTCGTTCTTGCCAGGTAACGGAATGTCTTTTCAAGGATTAAGACCACTCAGCATCAACAGCCAGTTTCTCTTTCTCTCTCTTTTTCTTTTTTCCTTTTTCTTTCTTTCTTTCTTTCTTTCTTTTTTTCTCTCTTTCTTTCTTTTTTTTTTCTTTCTCTTTCTCTTGTTTTTTCTTTTTGATACAGGGTTTCTCTGTTTAACTGCTCTGGCTTTCCTGCTCTGTAGCCCCGGATGGCCTTAAACTCACAGAGATCCATCTGCCTGTCTCTGCCTTCCAAGTACTGGGACTAAAGGTGTGCACCACCTAGCCACAGCCTGTTTCTTACTATTGCAGGTCAACAGGCAGAAACATCTCAGATTCACAGCTATGTGTTACTTCCCACTCCCTTGTGAGATTATGGGTAAAGTAATCCTCATTCAAAGTGCTTGGCCTTAGCAGTGTTTTCCATCTTGTATTTCTTTATATCTTTTAATAATTGCATAGACTCTATACCAATTGAGCATCCCTAATTTAAAAATCTGAAATTCTGCCAAACCCATTGAGGATTTTGGATGTTCAGAGTAGGAACACTCAACTTGTATTTGCCAGCCTGGAGGCAGAGATTGTGTCTGACACATACTCTAAAGTGTCTGATAGTCTGGACACGCATGAGGAGACGAATAAGACTAGGGAGTAACGTAGGGAAGACTTCAACAGTTTATATTGATCTCTTGATTTGTTAAGGTTTTATTTTTATACCATAGGAACATAAATATTATACATGTTAATGAAGTCTTATACTCTAGATCAGCAGGCTATGTAGCATGGTTCCTGGGGAAGATGATTAAGGTTGTAGGCATGAAATATGTCTGGGCCTGGTGTGGTGATACACACCTTTATCCCAGCAGTTTGAGACAAGAAGAAAATAACATCTGGTTAATTTTTCCATTATCCATTTTGTGTATATAAAATGACCACCTTTAATGACTTTTTACCAAATATATCAGTATTTTATAAATAAGTACACAAAAATACACGCTCTATTCAGTTATTAAGAGGCTCACCTCTGCCGAAGAAGAGCTCTTGCATCATAGTCATGAAGGGGCAGTGCAGGCTGCTCTCTCCTTCCGGCCCCTCCTGTCCCACTGGCTGAGTCTCCTTTTGGTCAGTTTAACGTGATTGTAGAGAAGGCAGTATTATCACTGTCTGTCTGCACGTGCCTGTTAGCTTGTTTATTTTTGTTAACTAATACAGCGTTTATGTCTAGATACAAGAAAGGTGGCTGCAGGATAACCTTACACTAAGGAAAAGAAGAGAGGAACTAAAAGAAGTTGAAGAAGAAAGAAAACAACATTTGAAGGAGATGGGACAAATGCAAGTTTTACAAATGAAAAAGTATGTTTCAGTAAATAGTGTTTATTGTTTATTTTTGAGGTCTTCTTAAACAGCCCAAGCTGGTCCCAAACTCATGGTGTTCCTGCCTCAACCGCTCAAGGGCTAAAATTACGTGCATGATCACTGTACTCAACACAAAATAGTGTTTTTGTTTCAGTGAAGGTCTTTACTGTTATGAGTATAAAGAAACCAGGAGCTGGAGAGATGGCTTAGTAGTTAAGAATACTGGCTGCTCTTCCAGGGGATCCAGGTTAGATTCCCAGGACCCACTTATCTACAATGGAGCGTCCTCCCATATCCTTTCCCCCAATATTATGTTCTTCCTCTTTCAAAAAAAATTTTTTTTTTTGAAACCCACACACATACACACAAGAAAATAAAAACAAACAAAAGACCAGTAAGTTAAAAAATACCAAACCAGGGGCTGGAGAGATGGCTCAGAGGTTAAGAGCATTGCCTGCTCTACCAAAGGTCCTGAGTTCAATTCCCAGCAACCACATGGTGGCTCATAACCATCTGTAATGGGGTCTGGTGCCCTCTTCTGGCCAGCAGGCATACACACATACAGAATATTGTATACATAATAAATAAATAAATATTAAAAAAAAATACCAAACCAAAATGAAACAAAAAACCCACCAAGGCTAGGCTGTGGTGGCACTGATCTTTAATCCCAGTAACTGCGAAGCAGAGGCAGGTGGATTTCTGTGAGTTCTGGGACAGCCTGGTCTACATAAAGAGACCCTATTTCAAAACCACAGCAACAACAGAAAACCATGAAGTTCTTTTGGCTTGGCCAGCTACTCCTGGGCATGAGGCCTGCCCTGGAATATGGTTGATGACCCCAGTGACACTCCATTGTAGAAAACTGATTTTCCTGTTTTCGGCTGGTATTTATTGCAAATAGCTTCTGGTTAGGAATGGAACTTGGTGTCCATTTAATTTTCTCAGGGCTAGGACCTCATCTCAACTCAGATTTTCTTTTTAGTTATTTTATGAGTATTTTGCCCACGTGTATGTATGTGTGCCACATTCATATAGTGCGTGTAGAGGCGACTAGATGGTGTTGGATTCCCTGGAACTGGTGTTAGGTGATTGTGAGTCACTATGTGGAGTCCTGGGAGTTAAACCAGGATCCTCTGAACTGCTGAGCCATCTCTCCAGCCCAAGATAGATTTTTTTTTAAAAAAAAATACTTTTGTGATTAAACTTAGCAATTTTTAAAGACAGGTTCTCACTGACTGTCCCCTGACTGTCCTGGAACTCACTCTATGGACCTGACAGGCTTTGAATTCACAGAGCTCCACCTACTTTTACCTCCCATGTGTGAGATTAAAGGTGTACACGACCATACCTGGCTGAGCATGCTTCAGACTGCATAATTTATCTATTCCTTAACAAATCTTCCATACTAGGAAGTGGCAGAACCATCAACCAAATAGATAAACTATATATGATGTCCATAGACTTGTGAGCAATATCTAGCACAGAACATGTGCTTAACAAGTAAGTAAATGAAGAAATTTAAGGCATATATTAAATTCTGTATAATCTTCCAGGGTACTAGAAAATTTTGAGTACTTTTTGGTCAGAATTGTGATTTTTATACTTTTGCAACAGAAACAATTTTTAATGCATTTTACTGTAGAAAATGACTAGTTTATTGCAGATAAAATTGTACTGTGTCTTTGACACTTTGACATTTGTAAGTAAAACTGATTGAAACCTGTTACCAGTAACTTCTCATTGTTGGCAGTTGTAGCCTCCTTAGTTCTTTCTAATGCAGAAGTGTGTGATTTTGTTGCGTGAATCCCCAGTAGTGCTTTACATTGTCAGCATCTAAAACCCAGGGGCTGTTATGATGCTCACGTGTTATGAGGATTCTTTATTTAGCACGTAAAAATTAACTTCTTCAGAAACCTAAATACTGCAGAAGTTTGAAAGGAAAAGAACTAGCTCAAAAGCCTTAGGAAGTCCGGAGCCTCTGCTGTGTGCTCATCATCGAGAATGACACCTGTCTTAGGGACTTTCTGCTTAGGTTGCCAAAAGCTGAACAGTTGTTCTCACTAATCATTTCCCCTTTTCTAGTGAGCATCAGAAGTTGGAAGAGAACATAGACACTATAAAACGAAACCACAGTTTGGCATTGGGGCGGCAGAAGGGCTATGAAGAAGAAATTCTTCACTTTAAGAAGGAGCTCCGAGAACCTCAGTTTCGGGATGCTGAGGAGAAGTATAGAGAAATGATGATTGTCATGAGAACCACAGAGCTGGTGAACAAGGACCTGGACATCTACTACAAGACTCTCGACCAGTAAGTCCTCTGTGCTTGTGCTCACTGCAGTGATAGCAGGTGGCGCACTGTGGTCGTCTTTTTTCCTGTTTTTGTCTTTTCAGTATATGACATTTCATATATGCCATGGAATGAAAAGTACTTCAGCATCCTCCCCTAGCCAGTCCAGGAACGTCACTGTTTACTACTGACTGGCATCCACTTAGATGCTCTCCCATTTCAGTCTTCAGCATCCTCCCCTAGCCAGTCCAGGGACGTCACTGTTTACTACTGACTGGCATCCATTTAGATGCTCTCCCATTTCAGTCTTCAGCATCCTCCCCTAGCCAGTCCAGGAACGTCACTGTTTACTACTGACTGGCATCCACTTAGATGCTCTCCCATTTCAGTCTTCAGCATCTACTCCCTATCTCGGGAACAAAGATGTTTGCTTTCTCTGCTCTTAAAAACCAGGTTTAATACACGTGTGTTGTGTTCAAGCTTTTAAAAGTGGCATCCCATTTCAGGTACTCTTCCAGGAGTTGCTGTTTTGGTTTTGTCCATTTTGATATGGCTGTAGTTCATCCATGCTCTCATGTACAGAATCCTGCCATGAATCACTGCTGTGCCTGTCTCCCAAACTCTATGACATTTTCTGACAAAGAGATAGACTAACGCTATGTATGTGGCAATGAGTTGTAGGATATGCTTGATTTTTACAGAATGCTGTATTTCTTTTTTATGGTTTTACTAGCCCAATATGGTGGCTCAGTTGCCTATAATCCCAGTAGGTAACAGGCTGTAGCAAGTGAATTTATGAGTTTAATGTAATGGGTATAAAATGAGAAACAGTTGTGACCTTTGTGGACAGTCCTCTCATTTTTTATTAATTTTTTTTAAGAATAGAGTATTTTTTGGGCCTGGCGGTGGTGGCGCACACCTTTAATCTCAGCACTCGGGAGGCAGAGGCAGGCAGATCTCTGAGTTTGAGGCCAACCTGGTCTACAAGAGCTATAGTTCCAGGACAGGTCCCAAAGCTACAGAGAAGCTCTGTCTCGAAAAACAAAACAAAAACAAACAAAAAAAAATAGAGTATTTTTGTAGCCGGGACTTTAATCCCAGCATTCAGTAGGCTGAGGTAGATGGATCTCTGAGTTTGAGGCCAGCCTGGCCTACAAAGTGAGTTTCGGGACAGCCAGGACTACACAGAGAAACCGTTTCTACCTTAACTCCCATCTCCCTCAAAAAAAAAAAAAAAAAAAAAAAAAGTTTTTAAAATTGTTTTTGGTTTTGGTTTTTCAAGACAGGGTTAATCATGCATATTAATGGAGTCAGTATGATAATTTCCACATATGTATATGATATGCATGGGTTAGATCTCCTCTAGTTATGAGTGTTCTAGTTTCAGGATTTAGTGGAGAGCTGATCTCTCATTCCTGACTAGCCCAGAACTTTGATATGTAGACCAGGCTGTCCCTGCCTCTCTGCCTTCCAAGGTCTGGGATTAAGTGCATGCGCTACCACACCCACCTCTTCAGAATACTTCAACTTTCTACCGCTATCACCTGGGACTGAGATAGCTGGGTAGTATCGTCAGTCTATCTCTTGGTGTGTTTGGGGGTTTTATTTTTAAACATAAGTATTTCTGTTGTATATTTATAAGAGGGGTGTGTGTGTGTGTGTGTGTGTGTGTGTGTGTGTGTGTGTACAGGAGCCATAGCACCTCTGGAGGTCAAAGAACAACTTTGTGGAGTGGTTCTCGCCTATCTTTGCACAGGTTCCTCTGACTGAGTGCAGGTCATCAGGCTTGTGCAGGAAGTGTGTGATCCACTGAGCTGTCTTGCTAGCCCTATCTTTGGAGGGGGCGTTGTTTTTGGTTTTGCTTGTTCTAAGGCTGACCTTAGACTAACAGAATTGACTGCTAGGATTAAAGGTGTGGGTGTCTTTTGGAGAATCTTCAAACTGATCTCCTCCTGCATCCTCGTCAACGCTTGTTTTATGGGAGTCATTCTAACTGGAGTGAGCCGGTCTCTCACATGTGGACCATGTGTGTTCTAACTGGAGTGAGCCGGTCTCTCACATGTGGACCATGTGTGTTCTAACTGGAGTGAGCCGGTCTCTCACATGTGGACTGTGTGTGTTCTAACTGGAGTGAGCCGGTCTCTCACATGTGGACCGTGTGTGTTCTAACTGGAGTGAGCCGGTCTCTCACATGTGGACCATGTGTGTTCTAACTGGAGTGAGCCGGTCTCTCACATGTGGACCGTGTGTGTTTCACTAATGGCAAATGATAGCAGTGTGTTTTCATGTCTGCTGATCATTTGTATTTTGAGAGGTACGTATGTAGCTCATTTGCCCCTTCTTTAGTTTATTGAATCACTCATTTTTTTTGTTGTTGTTTGTTTGAGACAGGGTTTTTCTGTGCAGCCCTGACTATTCCGGAATTCACTACGTAAATTCAGGATAACCTTGAACTCCGAACTCTGCCTTCCTCCTCCTCCTGAGTGCTGGGGTTAAAGCTGTGTATCTCCACCACTCAGCAGACTACTCATTTTTAAGTTCCTCATATGTTCTGGATGTTTACCCTGCCAGGTGAATGGGTAACATCATTTTTTCCCATTCCTTAGACTCTTTATTGATTCTTTCCTTTGCTGGGCAGCAGCTTTATGATTTGATGTAATTTTTGTCTACTTTTGTTTTTGTTCTTAGTACTTTTAGTATCTTGTCCCAAAAAACAAACCCTTGCCTTTTGCAGAGTTGTAAAGCAATGCTCCTTGTGCTTCCTTCTGCAGTCTGAGTTTCAGGTGTTAAATGTTTTCTGTTGTTGATTATGGTATGTAGGAAGAGACAGGTCTAGTTCGTACTCTGCATCTAGAGTCCCAGCTTTCCCTGTCCTTTGCCCACTGTCTGTTGTTAGCACCGTCACTGAAGACCAGCTAACAGTAGAGATGTGTGTGTATTACATTTCTAGACTCTCTGTTCCATTTTACTGATCTGGTATCTATCTCTCTGTTACTTCTGTGCTATTCAGATTGCTGTAGCTTTTAGACTATTCTCTGTTGTACTTTTTGTTCAAGATTGCTTTGACTACTTGGGTTTTGTCTGCTTGGTTCCTCATTTTATAGGTCCATATTAATCGAGGACTTTTTCCCTAGTTATCTGAAGGATGTCTTTGATACTTTGCTATGAATTGCACTAAATCTGTGTGTCAGTGGAAAAGCAAGGGGACAATTCAACAATACTTATGCCTAGTCTATGAATATGAACATGGGCTGTCTTTCTACTCTTGTGTTCTCTTTGAGTTCTGTTGTTGTTATTTATAGTGTTTCATAGTGATCACTCTCCTCTTTATTTAAAAATATGCCCAGGTTTTTGTTTCTATATCTGTTGTAAATGAGGTTGTTTTCATATAATTTGTAGTTAATATATGAAAAACTGATATGTTGATACTTTTGATGATACTCTGTGATCTTGTCAACCTGACTGCATTTAGAAGCATCTTGGAATCTTGGAGCCTGGGTGTGGTGGCTCATGCCTTTAATCGCAGATTTTGGAGGCAGTCACATCTCTGTGAGTTTGAGGCAGCCAGGTATATATAGACTCTATCTTTAAAAAAAAAAAAAAAGGCTACCTTAATTCAGTCCCCAGAATCTTCATGGTTGAAGGGTAGCACCAACTCCTGTAAGTTATCCTCTGTCCTCCACAAACTCTGTGGCATAGGCAAGCAAGCTAGCATGTGTACATGTACATGTGTATACACACACACACACACACACACACACACTAACAAGAATACAAACACAAATACAAAGAAGCACCTAGATTGGTAAAGCACACCAGTGTGTCTGTGAGGGTATTTCTACAGGCAGCTAGATATCAAGACTCTATTCTAATAGACATTTGTTTAATCCATTTAAAGTTTGAAGCCAGAAATAATAGTGCACTCTGTTAATCCCAGTACTTAAGAGGTGGAGGCAGGAGGATCAGCTCCACCCACATAGTGACTTAAGGCTACCCTAAGCTTCAAGAGACATTGACTCAAGAATGTTTGGGGTAAGTTGTTGGGAAGTGGTAGAACTCAAGGCCTTCCTGAAGGAAGTGGGTCACTAAGAGCCTGCCTTAGAAGACAGTGTCTGAGCCTGGCCTCTTCTTATTACTTTTCTTTGCTGCCTGACTACCATGAAGTGAATTAGCTTCTTCATGCCTTGCCACGGACTTGACAAACCATGGAGTCAGCTGACCATGGAGTGAAACTGGGCCAAATAATCACCTCTCCCTTGAGTTTTTTATCTCAGGGATTTGATCACAACAGAAACTTACTAAACAATCTTGTCTGCCACATCTCTAATTAGAATCTAATTAAGGGGGCTGGTGAGATGGCTCAAGGGGCTGGCGAGATGGTTCAGAGGATACGAGCACTGGCTGCTCTTCCAGAGGTCCTGAGTTCAATTCCCAGCAACCACATGGTGGCTCATAACCATTTGTAATGAGATCTGGTGCCCTCTTCTGGCCCACAGGGATACACGCAGGCAGAATATTGGATATATAATAAATAAATAAATCTTTTAAAAAAAATCTAATTAAGGTTTTGAAACAGATCAACTATTTTGAGAGCCCTTGCCCATAGACTATGTTCATTTGTCTGCTTCCGAGTAATTCTCTGTCCTCCCTGCTACTTCCTGTATGCCTTTGGAGGGTGTTGTGTTCTTCTGCTTGCTTTGTTTAGTTCTTTAACAACAGGTGCTGTGGATCTAGTAGCCCTCGCACCAACTTTCAATGTGCAGTAAGAACAGGATTCTGCTGGCAAGGGTGTTGAAACGGTTCAGGACAGATTGTCAATAAGAAGCTATCATGTGGATTACAGTCAAAGATACCATGGAAAGTAAAACTGGGAGTGACTTAGCAGGGTAGACGTTCTCTGAAAGTTGACAAATTTGGTCTTCACCAGGCCTGCCAAACCTATAACACATAGCTAAAAGTACTGTCTCTGGAAAAAGAATTTTAACCTTGTTGTATTAGGTAACTATTTACCACATCTTTAT